AAATTACTTTCGTAATTCAATCCACAGTGGAAGTAACACTGAAGTTATCAATTCAGCGTGTTTCCCTAGAATTTTCATTCGACCCAGTAGCCCGCGTATTTTGGACTATGGCCGACACTTTAATGCAGACAGCACAGCGTGTTACGCAAATTAGTTGCCGTATCCGTGCATAACTTTCGAGTTATACTCCATAATGCGGCACGTTAATTAAGAAAAGCTTCGGATAAGGACTCAGGGCGAGGTATACGAACCGTTCGATTTCTCCCGGTTATGCCATTCGGTTTTGTTGCTCTAGCTGGGATATTTCGAGGGTGGAAAAGGAGACGCGCCGGAGGACCAAAGAGAAAAGAGGAGGATAGAAAGAGGGATCTACCGGCGAGTTACGGGTCAGCCACGGTGGAGCATTAATAATCGTTTACAATCTTTAAAGCAGGGTGTGGCGAGTGCGTTAACCCTCCTCTTCTTCCTCCTCTTCCTTCTGTTCCTCCTACTCCAGCTTCCCATCCGCTTTTTCTTGCTCTCCTCGCTTCTTCGCGATCGTTCGTGGACAAAACACGAGGAAAAAGTCCTTCGTTGGTTGCCTTCGTAAACCAGTCGGACGTATATATCGTGGAAAAAGGATAATCAATGGCGAAAGGGTACGTCCGATCACGTGGCCGTTTTATCGTCGTGACGATTCGGCTGCCACTGTTGCGGCACAGCCGACTTCCCTTCGGACCTCGTAATAACCCTAGGACACGACACATTTTTAAATACCATCGCTTGTAATTACTCAGGCGTACAAAGTTTTCGGCAAGCATGCCATTTCATCTGCCAGTATCAATTTCCTTTTACTTTGTACGTAGTAGCACAATTCATGAATTGAATTTCTGTTCTTTATTCTTTGTAGGTAATTATACGTTGGTTTTGGTAGTGAGATTAAATCATGTGTTTATTAATTTGATGATATTTTGGGTAAAGTGCTTGCAAAAAATATTTATTTTTCAATCGAAATTCATTTTATATGATAAATTTAATTTGGACCTGCGACCAAAACAAAGAAAAGTGCAGAAAGTAAACGATTTAATTGATACATTTAGCGGAATAGGATAAAGTTAGCATTATAGAACTGACCACCAAGAAGCAGTCCATCATTTTATTACTACGTAAACCATAGTAGTAGGTCATACAGCATTTAAAAGTAAATTAGTCCGTTACTTTTCTATTATTTTGATACTCCTACTCGTCACCGACGAAACCATACCAATATTCCCCACAAATGGTCCAAAGAGTAAAATTCTGCCGTCTTATGGTTATTTTCTCGTGTCCTCGATCGGCAGTCGACCCACAGCAATTTAGCAATCGCGAAATACATCAACATGTTTCGATAAAGTCGGTTTACGCGAGGCGCGAACGCTACTCTTTTATCCAAAGTACGGACGTTTAGATATCCGAATGGTTCATTTCGGAAGTAGAGTCGGGGATTAAAACTGAGAAACTAACGTCGCCGGGAAACTCGACAAACCGGTATACGGAGGAGTCCTCCTGTGAATTTCGCAGCATGCACCTCGACCCCCTTCGAATAAACATTCTTCAGCAGGAAGTAAACAAGTTTATCTTACGAGTATTTATTTAATTGCGACTTGTCACACGGCACGGGCAATTTATGTGGAAACATTTGGTCGCACACCTGCAGGGATTCTTCGGCAGCTTCCGTTTACATGCGTACGAGTATCCTCGGTTGACGTTCGGCCATCTTTATGAAATCGAAAGCACCGTTTCGCCCGCTAAAATGTATACAAACTCCTTCGAATGCGCGGCATTTAACGACGGCTCCGAAAATAAAGTGGAAAATTTCAGTCCCGTGTTTCGCAGAGTTTGGAAGCTTCGACCTTGACTCTTAAACATTCGGAGGTATCTTGACTGCGAGCATTAAATAACTTGTTGACCAAAGAGGAAATGAAGCCTGTTTTTGCTTTCTGATTGCGTCGCAAGAGGAGTACCCATAAGTCGATTTTTACGAATTTATTCTATGTAATATTAATAATAAGGCCTGTCATCGTAACGAAATTCAATCATTGAAATTCGACAAGTACTGCTTCGATGTATTTTAATTTTCACGAATTTCTATATTGGTGTGCCATATATAAATAAATCTTGCTCGTAAGAGTACGCACGACACCAAATTTTCGTCACCTACACAATTTTAATATTATTGTATCATTTTAAGTATTCGTATATTTTTGAATCTTCTCACATTATTAAAATCTATGAAAGTACTACATCGAAGGGACTGACGGTCGAAATGCCCAAAATACACCTAAAACATGTTTATCAATCTAATACGACGATTGAACTCATTTCAGGGGATAAAAATCTATTCGTAAAATAGAATTTGCTAGACAAATTAGCCTATTCCTTTTGGTCGGTATTAGGTATTTGCGTTATAACATCTAAACGTCTGAAATAGACTGTTTTCTGAAGATAATTTTGGATGACGCAGGATCGAGGTTTCCTCCGTTTGTCATTAACAAGTTAATTGCCAAGCCGATACCGGTGAAAATCTCTACGTTATTAAAATTTTCTTTCGAGACAATTAGAAGCTGCATACTTATGCTCCGTACTTGTTCCTCCAACTCCATCCTATTCACAAATTTACTTCGGATTAATTTTCGTCCATAGCATGACTTTAGAATTAATTGTCTCAGTTCCTCGGTAAAAAGCTGTCACCCATGTGTAGGTGATATGACGATCAACTCGTTAACCCGACATCTCGGTCTTTCTAGGCTTGATTCTCGAAGGAACGCGTGTTCGGCAATCGTTGACAATGATCTGAGCAAATGGTTGCGGTGGGCGACGGTGAATTCCTTCGTACCTTTCCCTGGCGGTGCATTATTAACGACGACGATAAATATGCGCGTTCTTTTCGCAAGTGCGACGAATCGGCGATCGCGTCCACGGCGGGCCCCGGCGAGAAAAGAATTCTCGACGAAGGAACTCGTTCCTCCACCACGTGTGCCCCTATCGGGTTGTGTCCCGTGAAAATCGGTCGTCGGCCCCTTGGTCGGCCGGCGTAGCCATTAACCCACCACCACCGCCACCTGCAGCGACGAATCAGCATATTTAGCGTCGAGCCGAATTTAATAGAGGCCATCGCTCGGCCGTGCATCACGGTTGCATTCGCGAGACGCATCAATAATATCCGCCGCGATGCATAACATTAACCGTGCACGCTAACCCCTCCCCCTTTCGAATTCAATTCCCGTTTCTTCGCCGCGTATTCGTTTACGCTGCCCGACGCGCTTATGGTTTAAATGCATTCGCATCGTGACGCGCATAACTCTTTGCGCGTGCTACGGTTATCGTTCGTCGTGACCTTCCTCGATATTCCGATACAAATCGCTGTTCTTTTCTTTTTTTTTTTTTTGTGCACCGCCATTCGTGTCCTTGCGCTCTGTTTTCCGCGATTACGCGCGAAACAGCGGAGAATCACTATTTAGGAAGCCGTTTTTTTCTCTGATTACTGAGGGTATTTTTGTTATTCATTCGTAAAGTCGGCTGACCATGACCTCTGTCGCTTTACGATGCGGTTCTTCTTCTAAGAGCGTCGATGCACTTGGATAGTGAATTGTATTTTTATTTTGGGAGTCTGTTTCGTTTATTAATGCATTTCAACGACAGTAATTCTATTATTTATTAATAAATTCAAGAATGTATAAGATATTGTTCTATGACGTCTATTATTTTATGATAATGTCTTTCTTCTATGAACGTCGATGCACTTGGGTAGTGAATTGTAGTTTTATTTTGAGAGTCAAGGCTCGTTTATCAATTGTCTTTTTTTGTGATAGTACTTCTATTATTTATTAATAAATTCAAAAATGCATAAGATATTGTTCCATCACCTATACCATTTTGTGACACGATATTTCTTGCAAGTGCATCGATGCACACTAGGAGCGAGTGACACTTTTATCTTAAAAAAATAGCTCCGTCCATTGTAATTTCGCGATAGTCATCGTACGTATAGAAAGTATAAGGTAAAGTTATCGAGAACTCAATATCTCTGTAGGTCCTTCGTTTGAATTTCTCGACATTTTCAGTTTTATTTCTCAACATTTTCAGCGTTCTATCATATTCACTAAGAAAAAACGTCTTAAATTAAATGCGTACGTACATTATCAAAACGATAAAACATTTCTAATGTCTAACGTTTAATTTCGATAAAAATAAAGTATCCTGAAATAATTTCTCTCCCGAGAGTCCAAAAGTCCCCGCCTGTATTTTCGTTCAATTAATACTTCAGCCTTTCTGACAATGGACAGAAAACAGATTCGGCAGCGCGTATCGCCGATGAAACGAATGGAAATTAGGTGCATTACCGGCTATACTCGAGCTACGAAACAAATGGTATTCAGCGTATCGTCTTTGACAAGAGGCATGCATCACTTTCACGAGAACTGCGAGCCGTACCGCGGGTGATGAATCGTGCCACGGTGTTCTTTCATTTTTCATCGTCTCATAGAGCACCGCTTGGCTCGAACGTTGCTGCGGGTTTCGTTGCCTTTAATGTCCTCGAAAAATAAAAAAAGTTAAATGAAAGAAAAAAGAGAGAGAAAAAGAAATGTATCCGCGAGCGGTGCGTGTTACGAACGTCGAGCCGTCTCCACCCTTTGGCGGAATTTATTCGAGAGGCAGTCACGGCTGTTGAGTATCCCACCGCTTGCTCAAGATATATGACCGATAAACGTTCATTTGTGACGAAGAAAATTTTTATTGACTTCCCCATCGACGTATCGCCCGGTAATATCGATATTTATGGCGCACTTTGAAACGCGCACTACATAGAACCGATACAAATAACGTTTAATGTTGCATCGCTCAAACGTTATCGGCCACCGCGTAATTTTGTTATTTGAAACGTCGTTGGGAGCTTTATTGCACGTTTAATGTAATCAAACCGTATCGTAGGGAAAAAGGATCAGGCTCCGTTTAGGGGTGTGGTACAATCAATGTATGTATAAAGTACGTTTCGCGTCTGGACATTTTTTGCCCTTGGAACGTTTTCGACTCGATGCGATTTTCTCGAAGCAAGTTGGACAAGTTAACAGAAAATTTTGTAGGTTTATAAATCACGTGTTTTTGACACTTTCTCTCAGTTAATAATAACGAGTAGATTCTTTTTACTGAAACTAAATTATTTACCTTTTAAAGAGCGTTATTTTGTTTCGATGTTACTACGAGAAGTCGTCAGCTTCTGGTGTTCAATTTCATTTTTAATACGAAGCGTTTACGATTAACAAAGAAAATATTGCCGTTGCATCACGGTCATAGCGTCGGCTGTGTAAAAATAAGGTGATACATCAGCCTATAATAACGTAATAGAAATCGATTCTGGGTACATTTTTCCACGAAACGTGCACTTAAAGAAGATGGGACGGGATGTTTATTACGCCTTGGGGAAAATTAAATCTTCCGACTATTTCCATCGAAGTCTAAGAACTTAAATAAGGCAGAGACCTCTTTTTTACGCTAGGTTCACGAATAGTTTTAATCAGATTTCTATTACCGAAGTAATGCTTTCATAAGCGAAGTCGATTTACGTAGAATGAATTAGAAGGCTTAGACAAAAATGCATTTGGATCTACAGTCAGTGTAAGAAGTATTCGTACAGCAAGTGATTTAAAATAAAATTAATAAGCAAAAGAAATGAGAGGTTAACGTTAAAAATATGTAGGAATGTCGGTTAATTATTTCTTTCCCTACAATTTATTAACAAAGTAAATATATGAAGTTTTATTTTGAATCGACTCCTGCATAAATACTGACAATTACACTGACTGTATGTTGTGGTTGCTGTAAAATCTAAACGGTTTCTGTAACCTGCCTTGTGAAATTCCTCATGTAAATCTACTGTTAAATGTCGTTTCCAACGCTGTATCGCTTAAAAAATTACACGTTTTTTTTAGCAGTATATCCAACGAATGAGCTGACATTTTTATTGCGGGCTGATATATCGCTGTATTTTTATACAACCAGCAGTTAACGGGTCCATGAAACCTGTATTCCTACGTGGGCAGCACGATGTGTGTTAACAATCACAATATCAGAAACAACCATATGGTATTGCCCTGTAGTATATAATCACCAATAAGATATTTCAGACTTTCACGGTCTAGTTCTCGACGTTTGATACTATCCGAGGCTTTCGGGTGTAAACCGATTTCTTTTTCACCAAATTCAAATTTTTGATGCGCTAATATCTTTCCAGCGACACGTTTTGACCACCAATTTTAACGTGCACTCGATACTCTTATAAGGGATCATTTATTCTTATATCTAAAGATCTTATAGATGGAAGGAATCATTCGATCTCCCTCTATATGTATACAGGGTGTCCCAAAAGTCGGGGAGGAGCCGGAAATGGGGGGTAGCTGAGACGATTCTGAACAACAATTTCCTTTGCAAAAATGTCGGATGGGGCTTCGTTAAGGAGATATTAAGCGAAAACCCCGACCAATCAGAGCGCGCGTAGACCGTTCGAGCGGCCGCGGTAGCGAAGGCTACGCGCTAGGTCGATGCTTCGATGCACGTCGAGTCACTTGTTCGCGTGCAAGCGCAGCCACCAGCGCGTAGCTTACGCTACCGCGGCCGCTCGAACGGTCTACGCGCGCTCTGATTGGTCGGGGTTTTCGCTTAATATCTCCTTAACGAAGCCCCATCCGACATTTTTGCAAAGGAAATTGTTGTTCAGAATCGCCTCAGCTACCCCCCATTTCCTGCTCCTCTCCGACTTTTGGGACACCCTGTATAAATTATACAATCGACGAGCTTAATACTAAGTAAATGGAGATCAAAGGAAACAAGCTTTCGTTGATTGCCAAAGTCTGACTATGCCAAGCAATTGTTTTAATTAAGAGAGTGAAGTTAAATTGAAATCGCGACACGAAAAAACCATGGAACTGGACTTACCAAGTCAGTCCCGTTTCCTCTTGGCGGGCCTGATTTGAGAGAAAGACGATCAACGCCTCCATGTCAGTCCTCTACTCCCTGCATCCCGTTATCACAGCCAGATTCATTAGTTTAAGAGCCATCATCTTTTAAAGAACATGTACGCTTGAAAAGAACTGATTTTCAAACACTTGTAACATCCACAAATTTTGGAAATTTTGAAAAATTCTTTGAAATATATTCAAGTATCGCTAAAGACTGCATTATAGTGAAATTTGCAAAAAGATCCGAGTTGCATTTAGTGTCCGATTTCGCGTGGAATGACTTACACGAGCACTTTCCCTTGCTCCTACTCTGGCGCGCAGTGAGCGTCCATTCGGCCCGTTTAGCCTTATCAGATTTTTATTGGAGTGACACGGCTGTTTCTGTCTCCTCTCTTATCTGTCGCGCATGAAGTCACGATACGGGAAGATTGTACGTCAGCTTCGGAACGCGACACCCACGCGAGCTGCGTAACCCTGTTAATTGTTTCGATGGATTTAAAGTCGGTGTCCGAAATAAATGAATGTCGCCTGCCAAGGCGTGGTACGATGCAACGAGACATATACGGTCGTCGCGTATTATATTTCTTCGGAACATACTAAACGTGAGGGAAGCTTCAACTCGAATCCCTTCGATTTTCTCTCGAGAATAGCAGGACGGTATTAAATAATAAAATAAGAGAATAACGTATCCATCTTTCGACGTAAAAATCGTTTTCTATCAATAATAACTGAATAGAAATCGATTCTGAGACTCTTTATCCGTAAAATTGTACTTAAAGAAGATGGAGCCACGTTAGAAAAATATAACGGAAAACATAACGTTCTTTCGTATCGTAAGTAGTGTCGGTGCAATGTTGTTCATATATGGATCGGGTAAATGGACGTCCGATAATGGGTTAATGTACCCAACGTACACGTTTGTTAGCATCAGGTACGAGAGATTTAAAGAAACCGGTCACGCGAGATCTTGTCGCATTTTTACGAGCACTAAAATTGAAAGCTTTGTTTCTGTCCGCGATAGTAGCTCAATTGTTCCAACGAATTTAAGCGTGTGACGAACGAAATAAATGAACGTCCCTGGGTAAAGGTGCAACACGTTGTACAAGCGGCTTATGTACGGTCTCGTTGGATTGTATTTCTTCGGATTTCACGGTCTTGTTCGTGTCAATTGTGGATTTCTCGGCCACGTGAGTACAGAAGGACTCGCGAGAGTCGCGCGCGAGCGCGGGTGTATCGTCGGGATCGTAAGAGCTCGACACAATAAAAACGAAACAGTGCCGTTTGCGTAATGTCGAACGATAAATTCGGATTAAGCGGTACTACCGTTGTTGTAAATTTCGGTGATTTTAGCGGATGCAATGAGACGTTCTCGCAGTAACGGCCGTAATGAATGCCCGCGTAAATCTTTTTTCGGACGCGACTTTAAATAATGCGACTCCCAATTAGTAAGCATTCACGGAAGCCCGACGACAACAACGCGTTTGTTAACGTACTTTAGGGCCCTGTCTCACTTTGATCCGAACCACGCACTTTGCGGACAGGCAACTGAGAGAGAGGGGAATACCGTTTGAGCTATATTTAAGACACGGCACGTGTTGGTTATTGCACAACGAGTGCAACATTCGCTCTAACGTGGAGCTATAGGTATCCGTTACCAGGTCTGAAATACTCACGGTAAACTATACGGTTCAATTTAATTAATTTAACAGTCGGGGGACAGGTTTCGCTGGATTCTTGAAATACTCGATGAATTTCACGATATCGGGGTACACGGCGCGTGTTTACCGTAGTTGCGCATCCAAGAAATAGACGTAACTGATCAATGTTGCGCGGCGATGGGAGCATTTACATATTCGTGAAATCTACGATTAAAACAACCGGTAATTAAATAACACGATAACCGTTCACGTAGGCACGTAACAATGACTTGAAAATCGCGTTGACGCTTCAACCACCGTTCCGTTTAGGAAGATCGTACACTTTAGAAGGGAGCCTTCTACGTTACTGTGCATCAGCGTTTCCTTTTTTGTACTATGGTCCTCTCTAATATATACACAATTTCGAATATTTAAAAGTGAAAATGTTCACTAAAGAAACTTAAATGATAGGTTTTAGAAGGAAATGTCTAGGAAAGAAGTTAGTTATAGCGAAGGTTTACCCAGATCGAATAACGACTACGAATAGCCGTATGGTTAAACTCTGGACGAATCCATTTTCAAATTCCCTCACTTGACACGCTAGTCGCCACATCACCCACAAATGGGTGACAGGACTTTTCGTTAACCCTTTGATCTACGATTTACTGTAGGATCGTGCGTGCCATAATCAGGTATAAAATTCCATACGCACTTTCAAAAGACGTAAGTAGGTCTGTAAGATTGTAAGTAGGTAACCAAAAACAGTCACTAGACAGCGGATATTTACGCAAAATAAAGCGTTTGCAAACGTACTTATAAAAATAGAACCTAACTAGGAATTTATTTCACACTGGAAATATTACAAATGTGAATTTCACTTTCAATATTTTTTTATATTACTGCACACCGTGTGCATTTTGTAGTCTCTTGCAAATCCGCAGTTTGAAATTGAAATGTCGATAAATAGACTCCCAGTAGATAAAGTGTTAAAGCGAATAAATTTTTGAAAAATGAGATACGTCTTCGAACCGTGTAACTTCAAATGCGTGTAAAAAAGTTGGCTGTACATTCTTCGTCGCCTATCGAGCTGGAAAACGTGGACCCATTTCGGTGCGCGCTGCAGCCAAGGAGCGAGCCGAGAAACTCGTAAATCAGCGAGCGTGCGTGTTCACGCCCTTCAAATGGGACGATCGAAAAATCGATCGAGCTTATCCGATAGCGGTAATCGAGCATTCATGCGAGCAGCGCGCGAGTCGGCGTTCCACGACCCACCGAACGAGATGCGTGCGTGCATAGTACTCGGTCCCGTACACGCGTGCACGCTGCACACGTCCCCGCGGGTTACGGCTGCGTGCAACCGCAATGTTACTCGAAAATTAATGCGGTATAAATCAGAAGCAACACGCTCGCGACATACCCCGAAACATCTGCATCTCTTGACGCTTAAAACGATAAAGCCCTACAAACACTTGGGGGCGAGTATTGAAATTCGCCCAGTTCCTCGACTACGCTAATGGAAGCAGAGCTTCGTGACGCGCGAGAGACCAACGCAGTGGATGCAACAAGGATTCGCGCAAGCTATTTCATTTTGATAGCGTTTTGTAAGGGTATGGAGTATCGAATAAGTTTCTTTTTTTGCTCGAGAATTCCCAAAGAATAAACAAATAATAGAAACAGATGCAATCATTCTGTCATCCAAGTTTCTTAAATTTGTAAATTACACTGGTATGTGTAAAAGTAAAAAATAACGTGGATTTGTTATCGCGAAGGAATAGAATACACGTAAAAGCTAAGCTGATAAATGAAAAAAATCACTTACTATGTGGAACATATTGAAAAAAAATATAATATTCCAATATGTGACAGAGATAAGTGTCCAGTAACATAATTATGAACACTTTGGTACGTACACAATATACAGTAGTATTGCCTCGCTAGTAGTATTGCCTCGAGAATGGATATGTTATTAATAAAAAAAAATTGATTGCTACATTTCACTCATAGAATTTACGTGTGACGAAGTGACAAAGAAAGGTACAAAATTTATCGTACTGTCTCGCTGAGAATGGATATATTATTGATAAAAAAATTTATTGAAACATGTTACACGTAAAACTTGTACAGGGTGTCGAAAGAAAGTATACAAACCACATGGTTATTTTTATATTTCTATTGCTAAAAGAAATAATTATGGGCTAGTTTTAAAAATGATTTAAAAAACAATAATTCCTTTGCAATTTGCTGCTAGAATGCGCAAATGACAATATATATTCGGTGATAGTCATACGCGTGAAGTGGAGTTCGACTATATCGTCATCCATGAATGTTTTACGATTACATAGGGGAAGAACTCCCATTGTAAGCCACATGTAGTAGCGCACAGCTTGCAGTTCTTTCCAAAAAGTTATGAAGTATATCTCTTCGCGATCAATACTCGCGACGTGCGTCTGGAACGGTTTCCTTCGTTGAATATAGAAACCTTCCTAGACATGACGCTCCATTACTGGTGGATGATTTACAGGGACGCATCTATCATGAAAATAAAGAAGCTTCGATTCTCATTGGGTGGATTGTTTGACTTTCTTAAAATACATTAGACAAGAAAAGGACTCGTTAAAGTCGTTATCTATAGGCCCTCGGATTCGCGACTGATAATTAGTTTTGAATGCGATGAGAATCATTTATGGGACCACTCAGTACAAATTTTGAGGAGTACTCTCTTCTTTAGGTTAAACAATAGATTTCTTTTGTTAGTGTCCTTCTAGCTTACGGTCTTTAAAATTTGTCAAGTACCTCGGCTGTAAAAAGACTATCAAATTTGCCTCGAAACTGGTCAAAGAATAGAATACCCCGTTAACGAGACTGGAACGCAGATAAATGGCATTGTACGAATATTTTGAGCGAGACATTTGTGTAATGACTGTATCTATTTATAATCAATAATCGATAACAAAGGAGGGTGGTGCAGCTCTGCCCACGTTTGAGTTACGTTTAGCATTCTGTTGGCTGCGAAGTTTGGTACATGCGTCATCGCAGAGAAAATCGTGATCGAATCCTACATCAGCGGACGATAAATCTTCGTGTCAAATAACTTTTCGTTAAAACAATTAAATTACGTGCTCGTTCATTCGAAAACTTATATTTGAGCTGTTCATTGCACAAATCGAATAACTTCATAAAAGAAAAAGTTGAAAAATGTGATGAAATAATGTACAACGTTTTTTAAAAATTCCCTTCGTACTATAAATTCAAATAAATATTGAAAAAAGTTCATTCCTCTCCAGAAAAGTTATTATAAATATAAGCGTAAGTAATGTTTTAATATCACACGTTGATTAAATACCTAGCTCCTATTTCTTCATTTCATAGAATATTATATACAAATATGTATCGATGATACTACTTTTTAGCAGAAAGTGTCCGTTTTGGACCAACGATCTCTTCTATCTCTTTT